TGCATCGTCTGCCAAGTCTTTTGCTTTCGTAGTGAGTGATTTTCGTGTGCAAGTTCGGTACTAGTCCCTCTAGGATTTTCCAGGTGTATATAATCATGTAATCTCTCCCGCCTGCGTTCCAGCGAATACAGGTTTAGGAACCTCAAGCGCTCCCAGTAATTGAGGTGTTTTATCTCCGTTATGCGCGCCGTGAAGGTTCTCTGTACATTTTCTAGGTCAGCAATTTCACCTGCCTTGAAAGGTGCTGTTAGTGTGCAGCAATATTCCAGCCTAGATAGAACAAGTGACCTGAAGAGTGTCATCATGGCTTGGCTCCCTAGTTTTGAAGGTTCTCATTATCCATCCTGTCATTTTTCTAGCAGATGCGATTGATACAGTGTTATGGTCCTTGAAGGTGAGATCCTCCGACATGATCACTCCCAGGTCTTTGACGTTGGTGTTTCGCTCTATTTTGTGGCCAGAATTTGTTTGTACTCTGATGAAGATTTAATTTCCTCATGTTTACCATATACTGAGAGTAATTGAAATTTCTCATCTGTTGAACTTCACATTGTTTTCTGCAGCCCACTGAAAGATTTGGTTGATGTCTGCCTGGAGCTTTGCAGTGTCGCAATGGAAGACACTGTCATGCAGATTCGGGTGTCATCTGCAAAGAAGACACGGTGCTGTGGCGACATCCTTGTCTATGTCGGATATAAGGATGAGGAACAAGATGGGAGCGAGTACTGTGCCTTGTGGAACAGAGCTTTTCACCGTAGCTGCCTCGGACTTTACTCTGTTGACGACTACTCTCTGTGTTCTGTTAGTGAGGAAATTATAGATCCATCGACCGACTTTTCCTGTTATTCCTTTAGCACGCATTTTGTGCGCTATTACGCCATGGTCACACTTGTCGAAGGCTTTTGCAAAGTCTGTATATATTACATCTGCATTCTTTTTGTCTTCTAGTGCATTTAGGACCTTGTCGTAGTGATCCAATGTATTGAGTTTACTTTGAACCATATTTTGGGGGTTTAAGTATTTTTTAATTAGTGTTCATATTAATAGCAGCTTTAATGAGAGATGTGCAACTGATAGTGATAGACTTCAAAGTAACAGAATAAATGGTTTAAAGACATGTGAGCAAACACTAGAACATAGAAAACGTTTCAATCTTGGGACCTTAATCACTTCTTACACACAAGGGTTAAGAAAAGTAGTATATATATAGGCATATAATGATCGGTAATGACTTAATGAAAACACAGAGTACAAGTGCAGTTTCAGAAGGGGTCAGGTAGCTCATGAGGTCACCCGATTCCAGTGTTGTGGGGCTTAACCTTGTCGAGTATTAGGTATGTAGCTTTTTAATCCAGTGTTGGTGATGACAGTCACTGAGGTTTCCACGTATTTTCGACGTGTAAAGTCAGGTTCAGAGGTTATGAGTTGTTCCTCTTTCCAACTCAACAAATATTCCCTGGAGTTTCTGTGGCGGACACAGAGTTTTTTAAATTCTCCAAGTTGCAGGCGTATTAATGTTCACTCAGGTGTATAGACTTCTACCTCTCTCTTCCCCCTACATATTTCTTGAAACTGTGTCCATAGGAGGGGGGAGTGTAGACGCCTGCTGTAGAGGTAAGGGTGTGGGATTTTGCTTTTAAGCGAGGTCCTGACAAGAGGATGTAGCTTCAGTGCCTACATTGATGTTACTTCTAACAAACACCTGGCGGGTGTTCCTGACACCTACCCCACATGAAAGCACAAAGAACTGCTTGGAAGGTTTCATGGGATTCTTCTTGAGGATAGCACGAACATTGAAGCTGCAATCCCACAAGGTAAGCGGAGAGGGGGAATGAAGACATTCTTAAGATTTTTGATATACGTACAGGTACGCTCTTCTTAAAGAAAACAAGGACTGAAGATGCGGATAACCCTCAAAGAGAAAACAATTAGGACAACCTTTTTGTTTATATGTAATAGTGCAAATAGAAGTGAATGAGATCATCCTTGTTGATAGGTTGCCTACGCACTTTGAATAGAAGGTCGTGGCTGACGGGAGACCTGTACAGGACATCAATGAAATAGGAATCTACCCTCTCTTGAATTCCAATGTGAACTTTCTGAATCGCTCTACTGTGTTGATTTTGCTGAGGGCGTGGATATTAAAATGTGTGGGGTAGAACACCAAGATATCACCAATTTTTTTTTTCTTTGCTAGGAAACAGTGTTGGGACAGAGGGGTGCCGAATTTCTTGGTTTCCAGGTTTTCCATGAAGAGTTTGGTAAGCACAGCACTGAGGGATCTACCCATTGCCATGCCTAAGTTTTGTTTATTAGAAGTATTTCAGTGTGATTTGACCTGGTGACACAACACACTACCTCCCGATGATCCAACTTGACCACCAAGCTTCCTATTTTGTTTGTGGTGGTTATCTTGATACTTAAAGGCATTATAGGTAATGCAGAGATCCACAAGTCATGGAGAGGTAATGGAGTGTTGTGCTTGTCGGTTAGCTTCCGTCTCAGATAACTATAAACAAAGCTATGGGATAGTAATAGGCAGCCTGATACGTTGATATCTTGGTGTTCTATCAACGATGGTTTAGTATCCAGGCCCTCAACAAAATCAACACAGTTAAGCCATCTATGAAGCTCACATTGGAACTCAAAAACAGAGTAGCCTCCCTTTCCTCAACATCCTCTTGTGCATATCTCCCGACAGTAACTTTCTCTTCAAAGTACATAGGAAACATATCAACAAAAATGATCTTATAAACTTCTATCCTCATAATGACATTTACACCAAAAGAGGTGCCCTAATTGGTTTCTACTTGGAGTATTCACAACTCGTCCTTGTTTATTGGAAACGTGTGCCTACAAGCCTTCACACGTCTTTTCCCCCCTTCATAAAGGATTGGAGGCTCAAAGCTCACAGCATCCTCAGCAAAACCCCTATAGAACATTCTATCATGTAGTTTTAAGTGCTCATGTGAGGATGGTGCCAGGAATGTTTGGCAGGTGCATGATAGAACCAACATCAGTGTAGGCACCATGGGTATATCCTTATTTTGCTAAAAAGCAAAACCTACACCCTTTACCTCCACAAAAGACATCTATACCGTCTCCTGTGGCCACGGTTCCAAGAAATATATAGGGATTTGGAAAAGGCGTACGACAGGTTGGATAGGGGGGCAATGTGGCAAATGTTGAAGGTGTATGGTGTAGGAGGTAGGTTACTGAAAGCAGAGAAGAGTTTTTACGAGGATAGTGAGGCTTAAGTTAGAGTATGTAGGAAAGAGGGAGATTATTTCCCAGTAAAAGTAGGCCTTAGACAAGGATGTGTGATGTCACCGTGGTTGTTTAATATATTTATAGATGGGGTTGTAAGAGAAGTAAATGCGAGGGTCTTGGCAAGAGGCGTGGAGTTAAAAGATTAAGAATCACACATAAAGTGGGAGTTGTCACAGTTGCTTTTTGCTGATGACACTGTGCTCTTGGAAGATTCTGAAGAGAAGTTGCAGAGGTTGGTGGATGAATTTGGTAGGGTATGTAAAAGAAGAAAACTAAAAGTGAATACAGGAAAGAGTAAGGTTATGAGGATAACAAAAAGATTAGGTGATGAAAGATTGGATATCAGACTGGAGGGAGAGAGGTATGGAGGAGGTGAATGTATTCAGATATTTGGGAGTGGACGTGTCAGCAGATGGGTCTATGAAAGATGAGGTGAATCATAGAATTGATGAGGGGAAAAGGGTGAGCGGTGCACTTAGGAGTCTGTGGAGACAAAGAACTTTGTCCTTGGAGGCAAAGAGGGGAATGTATGAGAGTATAGTTTTACCAACGCTCTTATATGGGTGTGAAGCATGGGTGATGAATGTTGCAGCGAAGAGAAGGCTGGAGGCAGTGGAGATGTCATGTCTGAGGGCAATGTGTGGTTTGAATATAATGCAGAGAATTCGTAGTTTGGAAGTTAGGAGGAGGTGCGGGATTGCCAAAACAGTTGTCCAGAGGGCTGAGGAAGGGTTGTTGAGGTGATTCGGACATGTAGAGAGAATGGAGCAAAACAGAATGACTTCAAGAGTGTATCAGTCTGTAGTGGAAGGAAGGCAGGGTAGGGGTCGGCCTAGGAAAGGTTGGAGGGAGGGGGTAAAGGAGGTTTTGTGTGTGAGGGGCTTGGACTTCCAGCGGGCATGCGTGAGTGTGTTTGATTGGAGTGAATGGAGACAAATGGTTTTTAATACTTGACATGCTGTTGGAGTGTGAGCAAAGTAACATTTATGATGGGATTCAGGGAAACTGGCAGGCCAGACTTGAGTCCTGGAGATGGGAAGTACAGTGCCTGCACTCTGAAGGAGGGGTGTTAATGTTGCAGTTAAAAACTGTAGTGTAAAGCACCCTTCTGGCAAGACAGTGATGGAGTGAATGATGGTGAAAGTTTTTCTTTTTCGGGCCACCCTGCCTTGGTGGGTATTGGCCAGTGTGTTAATAAAAAAAAATAAAAGAGTGAACATCAATACGCCTGTAATATGGACGAGTTAGGCAGTGTCTGTGTCCTCCAAAGAAACTCCATGGGACACTTGACAAGTTGGAAAGAAGTACAACTCGCCATCTCTGAACCTGACCTTAGATGTTGAATTTGCCTGAAAGCCTCTTTGATTGTCATTACCAACACCACAGATCAAAAAGCTAGAGGTTACAACACATGGATAACCAGATACTTGACATGGTTAAGTCCCACAGGACAAGAATCGGGTGACCTCAATCTGACACTGTCACTAACCTTACTCCTGCTATAAACTTTTCATCAGAACACTATAGATCACTTACATCTCACTTTATGCCTATATATATACTGATATTCTTGAACCTTTATGTGCTAGAAGTGATCAAGGTCCCAGAGCAAAATGTTTTCTATTAAATAGTATATCCTAGTGCTTGCTCACACCTCATTTTAAACCACATGTCAATGTTCATTACCAAGTGTTATACCTTGATAATCTAAGTTGTAATGTATCCTGCAGGTGATGTGTGTGATAATGTAGACTGCCGAGCTGGTCGTGAATGTGTAGTGAGCCAAGGTGTTGCCCACTGCCAATGTGTACAGTCATGTCCTGAACGATACGCCCCCGTCTGTGGCTCTGATGGAACCTCCTATGATAACCACTGTCTCCTCCACCGCCACGCCTGTCTTTCTGTTAGTTCAAATGTACTTTTATTTATCAGTGTTAATATTATCTCCATAATTCTTACTTCTTGTGTCATCACCAATTTTTTAATGAAGTCAGAGATGTTACTGCGAATCTTAAGGTTCAACTTGCTTATCACTTTTACAACAGTGGTGCCTGGGAAACAATTGCTTACACACATTTATGTGCAGTTATAATACCTGCAAATACAGTAGTACATTTAAATTACACTATTTTAAATACAGCCTCTCCTCGCTTAACGACAGAGTTCTGTTCCTAAGACATCACTAAATGAATTCGTCGCTAAGCGAGGAGCATACTATAATGGTAGTGAGTTTGTTTCAACCATCTTTGATATTGATTTAATATCACCTTTGCACCATTTAACATTTTTAGTATATTTTTAAATGTTTATACAGTAGTGTACTGTACTATATTGTAATAAACAAAATAAAGGAAATCAGCTCTAATTTACTTTATTTAGATATGCAATACTGGTCAGAGAGCCCGTTGTAAGTCTGAGCCGTCAGTAAATGAGTGTGTCGCCAAGTGAGGAGAGGCTGTATTTTTATTTTAAACAAATGCATTAATATTATATGCACAATTATTTTATGCATGTATAAAGAACTTAAATTTGTTTGAAACAGATTTGTCAAGAACTGTAATTTTGATATATACTTTTTTCTTAGGCTAAAATAAATTATTTTCATTGGTTACTTAATTATCAAGTGCATTCATACTTTGTGTATATTAATTTTATGCATGTATACTCACACTTATTTGGTTAAGAACCAAGTTAAATAATTATATTTTTTGGTGAGGCTAGGGTAGCTGGTGTTGCCATGTACTGGACATGTTCAGTGGCTGATGCACCAGACTTTATCCAACACCCTCCCTCACGGTTATACTACTTACCACTACATACCCACCCACCCCTCCCCTCCACCCTCGGTCCCCATCATTTTCTTCCCTTTTACTCTCTCAGAGAGACGGTCCTGCTGGTGCCTATCCTGTTATGAACTGTACTGTATACTGTATTATAGCTCTCTTCTTTTTAATTAACAAATAGTATTAAATAATGTTTAATACTATTTGTAGGTGAAATAGAACAGTAATAAAGTAAAATACCAATTAAATTGTGAAGAACCCATTTCCGAATATAACATGGGTTTCTATGGAAAAACAGGTTCAGAGTTCCAAGCATTCAGCAAACAAAAAAAAAAAATCAGGAACACATTAGGGTTGTAAGCTCTGGCCCTTACATACAGTTAACTCTACCTCATTTTTACCATATTGTTACTGAGATGGCTAGCAATTTAAAAAATCAAGGTAATATGCAGTACATGTATACTGTATATAAAAAGTACTGTACGTATAAACATGATTCATCTTTACCATAACCATTATGCACATTACATCTACTGTAACCATCAACCTCTCAGTACATAACAGATGCTTTACTATCTATAAAACCCATTTTGGGAATTATAATTAATAATTTGTTCAAACTCTCAACATATTAACTTGACAGTTATAGCTTTTTTTTCTTTTCTTTTTTTAAACTTTGTCTTACCTTTAGTTATTAACATTAGTAACACTGCTGTGTAAAGTTTTCTTTTTTACCCAACACTGACCCCTCAAGGAAGGTTCCTTGATGTTGGTGAGGGGCTCTTGATTTAGGGAATTGGATCTGTGCTCCAGTTCCCGAATTAAGCCTGAATGCCTTCCACATCCCCCCCCCCAGGCGCTGTATAATCCTCCGGGTTTAGCGCTTCCCCCTTGATTATAATAATAATAATAATTTACCCAACACTTGAATATTTCCAGAGGTCTACAGCTTTTTATAGATCAGCATTTTGCTCAGGATGAAACTTTCAGGAGGACTAAAGTTCTAAACATATCTGCATAGCATTTTTTCCTGGTAAACTGTTTTCTAAATGAAAATTATATTGCAACCTAAGGTCCCCAAAATTTAATCATGGGACTTGCTGGATAACTGGTTTGACATATGTCTCAATAAACTGGTTGTTTTTTCAGGGGGAACACATTAAAGTTACCAACAAAGGTTTCTGCAAGACGGTCAAACAAGTGAAAAAGAAACCAGAGAAAAAGGAGGATATAGGTAAGAACTTTGTTTATTAGTTATACTCATATCTTCAGATATACAAGGGGCTTAATTATGTAGTTATAGTATAAGTGATATTTGCTGCATCCCCTGTAATAGCTACCATCATTATATAAGTGCTTATAAGTTCAAAGTTATAAATAATCAGTGGATTCTAGTACTTTTTTAAAAAAAGAGCTCTTAGCCTGCACATTTAATGGTGCAAAAAAAAAAAAAATACAAATGAAACTAAATCAAATTTTTATAACAGGGACAAAAAAATAACTAGCATCTATAAACTAAAACACACGTACATACAGAAATATAAAACTTTATATTCGTAGGGAAGGGATGAAAGAGTGGGGATCGTACAAAGCCTGAGAATAGTTAATTAGATTTAATCCAAGAAAGAAGGTAGCATAAATTCCTTGAATCAAGGGCCTTTCACCAGTATCAAGATGCCCTTCTTGAAGGGATGGTAATATATTAGTTAATTGAACCTGACGTGAAAAAAAGAGTCGGGAGTTCTAGTTAGCACAGATTTAAAGCCAAAACAACAGTGCATAAGTGTTCACAATATACTACATCTGGGGGCAAGAGTTAAACCTGTCATAGGGGTCATAGCACATGAGGAAATCAGATTCTAGGAAAGGGAGGATAGCTTAAATTCTTTGGATTAAGAGCTTCAAGTGCCATAGATCTGGTAAAATACCTGCTTATATTGATATATTGAAAAGGCTAGTGATATTACTTGGTTTCATATCAGGAAATAAAATAAACAAGCTTGAATATGATACTGTGATACTAGTAAGACCTCATTTAGATGCAACACCATTCTAGTTTCCATACATCAAAATGGACAAAACTAGTATCGTATCAGTGGGAAAGTTCTAAACCCATAAGGACCATACAATGCCCAGGGAATGGGAGGTATCCAGGTTTGAGCAGAGGAAGGAAAGAGTAGTTCAAATACATTCCAGTATTCAGGAATACTTCTTGAAGGAAGAGTGGACATGAATAGGGTGGAAAACATAAAAGGATGACATGGTTAATTCCCAGTATCAGAAACCTTTTTTTACTATGTATAGCTCGATTGGGAATGAATGATAACTGAAGCAACAAGACAAGTGGGTAGATGTATGCAACTGTGTAGATGTATGTAATGCAAAGTAAGCCTGTATGTTAGATGTTTTGCTCATTACTGAGCTTTATAAATTCTACAGAAAAACAAAACAAAAAAAATATTCTTTGAATATACAGTCTAGTGGAGCAGAGGGGGAATGAGATAAGGTCATATGAAGCAAAGAAAGAAAACAAGAGGCCAGATCACAGGTGGCATTATGTGGATGGTACCTGGTGTGGGAAAACTGCCTAGTAGTGGGTGTGCAAGAGGTTTTCCTTAAGCTGAGAGTAGATGAATGGTTCAAAGAACCGACACGTTGTTAAATTAGACACATGTGTCTAATTTAACAAGCTGAGAGTACCTGAGTTCTGCTCAGTTTGTCAAGCAAAATCTCTTCCACACCTATTGCTAAGTAACCTTTCCTCTATAAGGCCCCACTCATACAATGCCACCTGTGACCTGACCTCCTGTCTTTGCTATAATGTGACCTCTCCTTCTCCATTAATCTTACTGGAATGCATATCTAAGAAATTTAGTTTTTCTGAAAATATGATAAAGCACATCCCTAAGTGAAATGTTATCTAAAATAAAGATTTGCTCTACATTCCATGTCTTTATACTTAGATTAAAGAACAAACATGAAACACTTTAGAAAGGCATAGAATGAAGGGGAGATATTGAAGTGTACAAATGTAAAATAGAAATACGGTGGACCCCCGCATAATGATCACCTCCGAATGCGACCAATTATGTAAGTGTATTTACGTAAGTGCGTTTGTACATGTATGTTTGGGGGTCTGAAATGGACTAATCTACTTCACAATATTCCTTATGGGAACAAATTCGGTCAGTACTGGCACCTGAACATACTTCTGGAGTGAAAAAATATCGTTAACCGGGAGTCCACTGTGTATAAAAGGTACATAAATGAGGTGCTGTAAATAACTAAACAAGACCTTTCTAGCTGTTAATTAAAGTTAGATAAATTCAGATTTATTATTATTACTGTATTATTGACGTATAACTCTCTAAACGCACATGGGCCATTTGTTCCTTTTCAGTTTTAAAAGGTATATAGGAGAGCACTGGTTTGACAACAGATTTGTAGAAGAATGAAATAAACTGTCAAGCATAAAAGTATGATTAGTAATATGGATGGCTTTAAAAATAAGTTATACAAATACACGAGTTGGAATGATGTAATGTAAGCAGGACCTCCCCAGCATGAGCTAGTATTGAGCCTGTCCTTGTGTATTCTTTACATTGCTCTGCTGTATAGCCCTTGTGGCTTAGCACTTCTTTTTGATTATAATAATACATTGCTCTAAATAATATATTCTATGACACCATTGAACTCTCACCATCCTGTGTGGTAGTACCATGCTCATGTGAAAGTAGCTCCAGACCCAGAAGGATTAAAGTTTAACTTGTAGTAAAGGCAGTGAACTCTGGTACAGTATGAGGATGAGTGGAAATGTTGGTTATATTTTCTTACACCTGTTCACCTAGCATCAAGTAGGTACATGGTTGTTGCCAATTCTTGTAGGTTGCATCCCAGGGTGTTAGTATACCTTTGATAAGACTGGGCTGTCAAATGAGCCAAGGTGAGGGAATAGCCCTTAGCTTCAGTATTCAACTGTGTACACTATACATGTATAAACTAAAAAATTTTATGAAGAACCATCTTGTGTGAGGGTTATGTAAGATTTGTCAAGAAACAGGACATATTAGGTAAATATAGCTAGCTCTTACTCTGACTTTGTAAAATCATATAAATCTCAGTAGTTGCAGAATGCACTGTGGTATTTAAATTTGCAAATAAAAACGGCCGGTGTTAAAAAATAATAGCAAGGCACGATTCATTAATAATTTTTAATATTTTGTACAGCCGTATGCTACAGCACCCAACGTGATGCTCTTCTGCTAGTGGTGGGAAAGCACTGGCAGGCAACCTTAGCTGACCAGCCCTGGCATGTATCTGGTATGACATACAGAGAGAGTCTTTGGGGTCGCTTTTTCACATGTGATGCAGATAAAGACAATTATCTCAACTCAGACGAGTTGCTTAATTGTACCCTTGGTGCTTTCTTCATGGCTCGTCCTGAACAGGATGAAGAACTTACGAGGTAATGTCTTGAATATACAGGCTGTTAGGTATGGATATGAGAACACAATATGCAGTGCAAGCTTTCATTGTGTCTTTATACTACAGGTGATATGTTATTGTTAATTTTTTTTCATTTAAGTTTTGCATATACAGTATACATATACATGTACTGATATTGCAATACAATCACAGACAGACAATCTTAACAATACAAGACAAGCCATGGGGCATGGAAAACTTCAGTTTAAAATTTCCATCCCCCATGGCATGTCTTGCATATACCGACATACAATAAATTCTACCGAGATGTGTTACAATACAGTAAATCCTGGATATAACAAACTTCATTAATACAAGACAAGATCCAATGATTAATTATTCAGAAACAGACAAAATCTATTAGTAACAATTGTCCATTAGGATTATAATTACAGCAAAACAATCTACACCACTATCTTCTTCACCTTTTTTTTTGGAAATAGGTTGGAGAATTGCTATTGGCAAGTGAAAAATAAGTTACAAACATGTGCCATTTGCTCCTGAAATTACGTAAATAAAAATGGTTTTCCAGAGCATTGTGTGTAGATGCCATTGTAGATGTAGCAGACACTAATCGTGACTGGAGACTTGATTTTGAAGAATTTACAACAATGCTCAGCCCAGATTTCCGCCCTGCTCATAAATGTGAGTAGACACATCATTCATACATTAAACAGTACTGTAGTTTTTTTATTAAAATATGCTAACATATACTTTTAGTGATAAAATATCACTACAAATAATTCATGAAGTGATGTATGAATAAACTAATCTACATTCGCTTCCCCACAGTATGTTCACTAGACGGAAAGAAGTACAATGATGGAGAGGACGTACACGTTGATGGCAACCACTGGTTAGTTATGATGCTAATTTTATCTTGCTATGGAATAGTGATCTATAAATGATACACATACAATTATGATGCAAGGAAAAATGCCATATCAAGATAGCATTAATTTTTTAGTAGTTTAGTTGTTACACTCATTGATGAATGAGACACTTGACAGAGATTTTGCCACCGAAGTGGCTAGTTTATTGTGCACCCCATATCCATCCTGTGGACGGTAGCGCGAGAGCATGTGGATACACAAAAGGCCTAGGAACTAGGCCCCAAAGGGTTAACAGGAATACATATGGATTTATATCTACATATCTATAGTTCACTTATCTGTTACAAGCAAATTTAGGAAATTTGCTTAGTATATCTGGTATCTTATTTTCATTAATAAGATATCTTGACATGTCACATAGGTTATTATACTGTCTGTCTCTGTATTCCTCAATAAGTGGACAATTAAGCACATAGTGTTCAAGAGAGTGACCATATGCCTGATCACATAATTTACATTTAGTTTGATCATCATCTGTGTGTCTCCCAAACTGCCAGAAGTACTTGTAACCAAGCCTAAGCCTGGCCACTACAACATCAGTCAGTCTGTTCACATTGCAAGTTGCTCCATAAACATACTTATCTACGTTCATGTTATCATAGTGGGTTATAGATCTACTCAGGCTTCTAACTGCATTCCTATAACAATCATCTTCATTATTTACTTCTCTCCTAATATTATTCCTAATGCTAGACACAGTTATACCAAAGTTATATTCTACGTTCTCCTTCTGGATACTCTTCTTGGCTAACATATCAACTTTATCATGAAGGAGTAATCCAATGTGTGATGGGATCCATAGCAATTGTACATTAATTCCTTTGTCCCTAATTTTTGAGTATCTATACCTGGCTTCCCCAATGAGCATGTTGTTGGAGTCATTATATGAGCCAAGAGCCTTCAATGATGACACTTGATAGTTTTCTGAACCATACAGAGAATTCTGTGCTTACCTAAGCTATAGGCACAACCAACTTCCACCTATGGATTTTTCCAAGGTGACACTACTGCCGATTGCTTTGCCTCGCCTGTATGCAGTGTATAAGACCCTTCTCCATGCATACTCTGTACCCTTATCAAGATTGGACTGATTACCTCAAATTCCTCCAGTATTCTTCTCTGTATTGGACTGAGGAAACCACTGCCTGGTGAAACATTTCCACACTAAAGATACTCAAGTTTTGCAAAAGTGTCTCATTCATCAACTTGTTGGTTTTCTGAACCATTTATCTACAGTTTCAGTAAAATTCTAAAACTTGCCACTTTGGGAGTAGAAGTACTGCAACATTCTTTGTAAGTACTGTAATTAATAAATCTTGGTGCTTTAAAATTATTGTTCGTCAGGGTATTGTGCCTTTTTACTCTTCAGAGGTGTATAATTAGTGGGTCAGAGGTGTACTGTTGAATTATTAAGTGACCTCTGTTGGTCTGGCAAGGATTAGGAAAAAGAATGCTAGAAAATTGGTGGTGTGCCTGTACCAATAGCTATTATTGCTGTATTTACACTAATCTCGTGTTACAGCATTTGTGCAGTGGGCAGCTGGGTTTGTACATCTCCCGATACTACATCCAAGGACACCAACAAAAAAAAATTTGGCCTGCAGGACTTCAGTGACACTGATGATGACTACAATGACCTAGATGATGATGATTATGATCTCTCTAGTGAAAACAATGAAGATTATGTGATTGATGAGGATGAAGATGAAGAATACCTAGAGGAACTCTTTGATGACTTACTAGATAAGTTAAGGAAGCACCGTAAGCAACAGCAGCACCACAATCGCCTCTAAGATGAAGCAAAATTGAGAGAGATGTGTTTGTTGCAGTCATTTATGCTTATACTCACCTAGTACTACAAACCTGTGCTTATAGCCAGGTGACATTCTAATAACCATACTGTAATACCTATCTAAATAGGATAGATCTTATTGTTCATACTTTATATATTTTGTTTAACAGTTATTGTATTTAAACATTCATCGAAATGCATGAAAAATGTTTTCTTTTCATGCTGTCTTCATCTCACAAGGATTCATGAAGAAAACTGCTCCTTAATCCATTAACAAAACAGTTACTGCTTTCTTTGATTATACTGTAATAAAACACTTAGTTATCTGTGAATATAATAATACTATGACTATTTTAAAATTGTATTGGAACTCAGTCTGCACTCTGAAGGAGGGGGTGGAGAAGTTAGTCAGAATGATGTTGCTGTTAAAAATGCTTCCTGACTAGCCAGTAGTAGTGTCTTGCCTTAAAATTGTGAAGGTCTCTATTCAGTGCATGACAGTGTAGCTGTAGCCCAAGTTTTTTTTTTTTTTACACTTTCACACATTGCCTTGCAGTGCTGAATGACCTATACAGATTTAGCACTTTTTGTGAGAACATTGTTTAATATTACAGATATTGTTATAGTCTTAAAATATCATATTCTGTACTGTATATTGTGAACCATTCATTCACACTCCACTATATGACCCTTTTGGGTGTAGCGCTTAACCCAATTATATTGCGTATTATTCAAACGCTGATATGCATTATTGTTAGTCATTGGGGGAGTGCTAACTCCCATGTGGTCTTATACATTGCATCAGGTTCAATAGATGAAGGGGAGAGCAGCTTCAATTCCTTTGATCAAAAACTCCTCAGCAGCATCAAGGAACCTTTGAGGGCTCTGATGCACAGTACTCTTCCTTTCACCAGATTTCTCTGTATGCTATTTATTTGCTTATAAAAAAAAATTCTCAGATTTGGTTTGACAAATTTTGACCTGAAACCATAAGCACTGAATATTTGTATTTTTTTTTTTTTTTTACAAATGCAAATTGAATTTTGGAAATTTTTATAATGTAATTTGCTCCAGAGCCTATATTTTAATAAAATTTCAATACTAAGTCCTGTGAATTTAATTCTTGATTCCTAGTCTCGTACAGAAGCCACAAACTGGCAACTGAACTATGCTCGAGATATCACTCAACATAATAGTCCTTGTACATTAGTATTACTATTTACATTATACTTTCGTTGTTCCCCTCAAGGAAGGTAATGTGCCTTCAAGAGGGAGCTGGACAGGCACCTAAAGTCAGCACCCTATCAGCTGGGCTGTGATTCGTATGTTGGAATATGCGAGGCCAGCAGTAACAGCCTGGCTGATCAGGCCCTGATCCACTGGGAGGACTGGTCAAAGACTGGGTCGTTGGAGCACTGACCCCCAGAACACCTGGGTAGACTCCATGTAGGGGCTCTTGAACTGAACCTCTCCTTCCCTTCCTTGAGCTGAACCCAACTGCCTTCCATTTTCCCAGGTAATGAATGACCATAAAAGTTTAACACTTCTGAATATAACCTACTGCCCTATTAATTTTACATTTAAAAAAAAAAAAAATGGTACAAATTCGATTTTCCTAACCACTGGACAGTGGTTTACTATTGTTTGTCAGACTTAAGAATCATCAACCATGTGAAGGTCATTAGAGCTGCAACACACCAAGTCATTAACAATAAGGATTTAAATTTTTTAACCCATAAACTGTCCAAACGTAGATCTACATTCGCTCCCATGGCGCTCCAAACGTAGATCTACGTTTTTTTTAAATTCTTTCTTATGGAGAAAATCAAGGTCGGAGTGCTACACGCGCAAATGTAGATCTACGTTTGGACAGTTTATGGGTTAAAGGTAAAACATGTCAAGGAGGAAATATAAGCAAAACATGTATTCAACAAAATTTACACATGTGTACATCTCTACATAGGTAGCAGCTCATGACAGGAGTAACACCCTCATTAGTCATATCTACTAATACAGTGGAACCTTGGTTGTCGTTTGCCCTGGTTTTCATCGAATTTGGTTTTTGACGACTTTTTTCATCATAATATTGTCCCAGTTTTCGTTCACCACCTTGGTTTTCATGCAGGTACACATTAAAATCACTAATTGTGTCCCTCTAGTCTTAATGCCATAGTAATACAATAATAATCACTCTTGGGCACATTAAATGTCTTATTTTACATTAATATAGACATTTTCATTAATCCATCTATGATATTTTCTTCAAAATTATATAAGAAACACGTTACATAGCATATTAACATGCAATGTTTATGTGCTATGGAGGGGTGGTAGTCGGGTGGAGGGAAAACATCATGTTTTCTCTGGTCTACCACCAGAAAAAAACATGTATGAATCTGTGTTGGCCCAGTCACCCTCCTCAAAACATATACGTTTTTTCAACATCTGAAAGTATGTAAAAAAATGTAGATCTTCTTTTTTGTTTTACCTTTGAAAACATGTAAAAAAAAACTTTTATCTACATTTTTTTTTGTTATATTTGAAAATAAATAAAAAAAAGTAGATCTACTTTTGTAGCACTATGAATTTGAACGTCGATCTGTTTGGACCGTTTAAGGATTAATACATAATGTTGTTGTTTACAATTCCCAGCACGAATTACAGACTCTCCCTACTTAGCGACTTACTCGTTTACCGACACCTCGAACCTACGATGGGCTCTCTGGCCAGTATTCACACTGAAAAAATGTATATTAGAGCTGATTTCCTCTATTCTGTTTATTTCAATATATAGTACACTACTGTATAAACATTTAAAAATATACTAGAAATGTTATAAATGGTGCAAAGGTGACATTAAAACAATATCAAAGATGGCTGACAAACTCACTACCATTATAGTATGCTGCTCACTTAGCGATGAATTTGTTTCACGACGCGGTCTCAGAAACAGAACTCTGTCATGAAGTGAGGAGAGGCTGTATTCAATACTTCTCCTTTCGTTTATGATGGCATCTGAAGGTAGTTGTTAGAAACGATTAAACTCAGTGAACATGGTATGTCGATGGTAATAACATGGCTCTGGGCTGCATTAAATATCGTGTAGCTATGTAGGTACATAAGCGTAGGTATGTAGCCCAGGCAGACTACATACCTACATCTACCTACACCAGATCTCTCGGACAGATATTTTGTGCGACAGGGGTACAGTGACTCAAGCTGGTCCTAGTGCCAGGAAAAGACAGAAGAGAAGTAACCCCAGATAGGGACTTGATACCGGAAGTCCTTACGGAAGGGGATTCCCCTTCCATATAATAAACTCTCCTCCCTCTCCCATCCTCGCATCTTCCATACACCAACAAGAGTCTTCAATAAAGGTAAAACTGATTTAAATGTTCATTTATCCATTAAAATTAGTGCTTTATATTTATTTCTCATTGTTTTCTGCATGCAAAACTATAATTATTCTCTATATAATGCATTTTTTTTTTAATATTTTTGGGTGTCTGGAACAGATTAATTAGAGTTACATTATTTCTTATGGGAAATATTGCTTTAGTTTTCGTCAAATTTGGGTTTCGTCAGACTCTCTGGAACGAATTAAAAACAAAAACCATGGTTCCACTGCATAGTCATCCCTACAAATTCACAGAGAAGGTAGTGGGGGGGGATATTATGTTCCAAGATGTCTTGCAAAAGTAGAAAAACCTGCATAACAAATATCTCTAACATATGCCTGTAACACTAATCTGGTTAATAGTAACATCACTTTGAACCTTTTACCCATTGTTGACAGGAATATAATTGAATAATTGTTTTCACAAAAAGCATTTTTGAATATATGAATATATCTCTTGTACCAATTTTGATTCACTTATAATTAATAATCTACTGTACAACTATGAAATAATTACTATCCTACTGTACAACTATGATATAATCCTTAGTGTTAAGTAGTCTGTAAGCCAATAATGTTAAGTTGGCCCATAATGCCTAGGCATAATAGAGGCTCTCTTTGCATTGCAACCCACTATTGTAAATACAAAATCTCATTGTACTGTTTGCAAAGACATAAATAAATAAATAAATAAACATCCATAGAAAATAATAATCAGAATTAAAAAAGAAATCTGAGTGAGAAAAAGTAACTGAGCCTGAACAAGAATAACTCTTGATAATTAAATTATTTTGTGGCTGCCCTTTAGTAAAAATCTGAATAATCAAAATCTCTGAATGTGAAATCCTGTAAAATTGTAAAGGACAACTCTGCTTATCTGTAAGGCCACACAAAAATATTCTAAAATATTTTAAAGACCTCTTATTTAGGTAGGCAGGTATATTACACATCAGAATATAGTTCAAGAAAATCTGATAATGTACAAAAACATTAAATAAATACTATATAAAATATATATATATATACACATTATATATACAGGAGGGCCCTGATTATGCAGCGGGTTAGGTTCCAGGCTATTGCAGTAAAGTGAATAATCTTTTTTTCACTTTTAAATGCATATAAATGCCTGGTAACATTTATACTATCACATATTAAGTAAACAATAGAACTAGTCCTTAAAAAAAAGTAAAATGTACAGTACACTCATTACTTACCTTAAAATAATTTTGGCCTTAGCTTATAGCGAGTGATGGTAGTATTTATTGCACGAAGTCAGGAGATGGCATATTTTCATCCTCTGCCTCACGCCCAGGTTCACAGCAACACACCCAGCAATGTAGGCTACTGAATTAATGTGGAGATAATTTGTATATAATGTAAGATGTTCATACTGTGGGGAAAACGTTCCATAAATGTATAAGTACGTAATATCAGTGTTTTGAGTGTATAGACAGTCAGTCTGACGCACATTAATACCTGTCCAAGTGGCAGTTCAATAGCTGTCCATTGACACATCCACTACATGTCAACCTAAAACACAAACCTTACATACACATTTACCTGGAGTTTACCCTCAGGTAAACTCCAGGTACATTTATGGAGCATTTTCCTACAACACAAATGCCTTATATTATATCCAAATTATCTTTACATTAATACAGTAGCCTGTATAACAGCAACACTCCCAGGCTCATACAACACACCATTTGAGAGTGACACTATGAGTGAAGACTTATGAAAGGAATATTTTTTCTTCAGTTACCCCCAGTAATATTCACAATTTCTCTGGTGGTAGTGGACTAAGAAAGAAGGTCTTATTTAATTCTTGCCGTACACTCCCACAAACTGCCAAGCTACCACACCTCACAATTATGTCAATTTGTTCTATGTTTATATGATACGTAGCATGTTTCTTAACCCTTTCAGGGTTTCGGCCGTACTAGTATGGCTTATGTGCCAGGGTCCTTGACGTACTAGTACTCATAAATTCTAGCACCTTCAAATCTAGTGAGAGAAAGCTGGTAGGCCTACATATGAAAGAATGGGTCTATGTGGTCAGTGTGCGCAGTATAAAAAAAAAACTCCTGCAGCACACAGTGTGTAATGACAAAAAAAAACTGTGTTTTTGGATTAAAACAGCAACTTTGCACTGTATTTTTGTATGGTATTTAATGTTGTATTCTAGTTTTCCTGGTCTCATTTTATAGAATGGAAGACATATTACAGAAATTGAGATGATTTTGACTGGTTTTACAATGAAAAGTACTTTGAAATTGAGCTCAAAGTAGCAGAAATGCTCAATTTTTACCAAAGTTCAAAAGTAAACAAATGCTAAGCATCCAATACCGTCAACTGGTGAGTCTAATATTCTCTCACAAATGAGCCGATATTATTTATACCATTTCTACACTAATGCAGTAGTCTGCATAACAGTAAATCTTCTGTTTTTTGTGAGAATAAAAATTCAAAATGGAAAGCAAAAGAATGTAAGAGGGGCATGGGGACGTGACTAATAAACAGAGGAAATGTTATTTTAGTGCCAGGAATGTCTTTCTTGTTTATTCTGGACCCTATTTGGAAATTGGCATCTTTTGAAATTTGTGTGAAATTGGCAAAATTGCTAAATTCTGACCACTGTATTGGATAGTTGAAATTGGTAAATGGATGGTTTCTTGTACTCATTCGATAGAAAAAATGGAGTTCTAGCGAAATATTTATGATTTTTGTCGACTAGTACACTGGAATTGGCCGAAAATAGGGCTCAAAGTGCGCAAAATCGCCGATGTGTAAACATCAAGACCGCTAACTTCGCGAGAGCATAATTCTGTAAGTTTTCCATCAAATTTCATACTTTTCGGGAAAAGATTCTTTATCTTTTCATAAGAAAATTTTTTTTTTTTTTTTTAAATTTGGGGGACCCTGAGAACAAGTCTCTGAGAGGGCCTGTGGACCCTGAAAGGGTTAAAAAAAAAAAAATATGCCATAGTTGGATTAATGAAAATATCTATAACATAATATGTGATATTTAAAAGTGCACCAGAGCGATTATTATGCTCTTTATATTATTGAGTCTTCAAAACTAGCAAGACACTCCTAGCTAATTTCTCTCCTGGTGTAGTGACTTCTACTTTGTAACGATGCCAAGTAGTGATTTTACTGTACCTGTATGCCAGCACAGTGCATAAGTTTATTTAGGTACAGGTACACATAAGAACAATTATCAGTACAGTACTATCTCAGTCACAGACATACCTGGCTCACTGAGTTTAATCATTTCTAACTCTGTACTTAAAGTAAGAGCCTTACGACTCCTCTTAGATGTCACTAACACAAAAACAGTATACAGTGGAACCTCAAATATCGAACTGCTCCCAACTCAACCAATTATGTAAGTGCATTTTTTGTAAGTGCTTTTATAAGTGTATTTCTGAGGGTCTGAAATGAACTAATCTAATTTACATCATTCCTGATGGGAATAAATTCGTTCTGGTAACGGCACTCGAACAGCCATCTGGAACAAAGTTCGATATTTGAGGTTCCATTGTATCTGAAATCCACAATAATTTTAAAACACTTGAAACTTTGTAAAATTTCCAGACAATCATGAGAGATGAGAGATACATGGAGCATGTATAGTCCCTTTATATAAAGGGAAGGGGGACAAGAGAGATTGTAAAAATTATAGAGGAATAAGTTTACTGAGTATACCAGGAGAAGTGTACGGTAGGGTTATAATTGAAAGAATTAGAGGTAAGACAGAATGTAGGATTGCAGATGAGCAAGGAGGTTTTAGAGTGGGTAGGGGATGTGTAGATCAAGTGTTTACATTGAAGCATATATGTGAACAGTATCTAGATAAAGGTAGGGAAGTTTTTATTGCATTTATGGACTGAGAAAAGGCATATGATAGAGTGGATAGGGGAGCAATGTGGCAGATGTTGCAAGTACAGTGGACCCCCGGTTTACGATATTATTTCATTCCAGAAGTATGTTCAGGTGCCAGTACTGAACGAATTTGTTCCCATAAGGAATATTGTGAATTAGATTAGTCCATTTCAGACCCCCAAACATACATGTACAAACGCACTTATATAAATGGTCGCATTGGGAGGTGATCGTAAAGCAGGGGTCCACTGTATATGGAATAGGTGGTAAGTTACTAAATGCTGTAAACAGTTTTTATGAGGATAGTGAAGCTCAAGTTAGGGTGTGTAGAAGAGAGGGAGATTACTTCCCAGTAAAAGTAGGTCTTAGACAGGGATGTGTAATGTCACCATGGTTTTTTGATATATTTATAGATGGGGTCGTAATAGAAGTAAATGCTAGGGTATTCGGGAGAGGGGTGAGATTAAATTATGGGGAATCAACTACAAAATGAGAATTGACACAGTTGCTTTTTGCTGATGATATTGTGCTTATGGGAGATTCTAAAGAAAAATTGCAAAGGTTAGTGGATGAGTTTGGGAGTGTGTGTAAAGGTAGAAAGTTGAAAGTGAACATAGAAAAGAGTAAGGTGATGAGGGTATCAAATTATTTAGATAAAGAAAAATTGGATATCAAATTGGGGAGGAGGAGTATGGAAGAAGTGAATGTTTTCAGATACTTGGGAGTTGACGTGTCAGCGGACGGATTTATGAAGGATGAGGTTAATCATAGAATTGATGAGGGAAAAAAGGCGAGTGGTGCGTTGAGGTATATGTGGAGTCAAAAAACGTTATCTATGGAGGCAAAGAAGGGAATGTATGAAAGTATAGTAGTACCAACACTCTTATATGGATGTGAAGCTTGGGTGGTAAGTGCAGCAGCGAGGAGACGGTTGGAGGCAGTGGAGATGTCCTGTCTAAGGGCAATGTGTGGTGTAAATATTATGCAGAAAATTCGGAGTGTGGAAATTAGGAGAAGGTGTGGAGTTAATAAAAGCATTAGTCAGAGGGCAGAAGAGGGGTTGTTGAGGTGGTTTGGTCATTTAGAGAGAATGGATCAAAGCAGAATGACATGGAAAGCATATAAATCTATAGGGGAAGGAAAGAGGGGTAGGGGTCGTCCTCGAAAGGGTTGGAAAGGGGGGTAAAGGAGGTTTTGTGGGTGAGGGGCTTGGACTTCCAGCAAGCGTGCATGAGCGTGTTAGATAGGAGTGAATGGAGACGAATGATACTTGGGACCTGACGATCTGTTGGAGTGTGAGCAGGGTAATATTTAGTGAAGGGATTCAGGGAAACCGGTTATTTTCATATAGTCGGACTTGAGTCCTGGAAATGGAAGTACAATGCCTGCACTTTAAAGGAGGGGTTTGGGATATTGGCAGTTTGGAGGGATATGTTGTGTATCTCTATACGTATATGCTTCTAAACTGTTGTATTCTGAGCACCTCTGCAAAAGCAGTGATAATGTGTGAGTGTGGTGAAAGTGTTGAATGATGATGAAAGTATTTTCTTTTTGGGATTTTCTTTCTTTTTTTTTTGGGTCACCCTGCCTCGGTGGGAGACGGCCGACTTGTTGAAAAAAAAAAAAAAAAAAAATGTATATATTATATATATATATATATATATAAATATATATATATATATATGTCATGCCGAATAGGCAGAACTTGCGATCTTGGCTTAAATAGCAACGCTCATCTTGCCATATAGGACAAGCGAAAATTTGTGAATGCAATAATTTCGCCAAAATCATTCTGAACCTAACGAAAAAAATATATTTCATTGTGTTTGTTTAGTATTAAATTACTGTAAACAAATCTAAAATATATTTAGTTGGGTTAGGCTAAAATAAATTGTTCTTGTTATAATAAGGTTAGGTAAGTTTTCTAAGATTCTTTTGGAGCAAAATTAAAAATTTTTACATAAACATTAATGAAAAAAATATAGCTTTAAACGTATAAGAGAAAATTTTAGAAAGGAATTACAGTGGACCCCCGGTTAACGATATTTTTTCATTCCAGAAGTATGTTCAGGTGCCAGTACTGACCGAATTTGTTCCCATAAGGAATATTGTGAAGTAGATTAGTCCATTTCAGACCCCCAAACATACACGTACAAACGCACTTACATAAATACACTTACATAATTGGTCGCATTGGGAGGTGATCGTTAAGTGGGAGTCCACTGTAATTTTAAATGAGTTCTTGCTAATTGACCAGTTTTACATATTCGGCACGACATATATATATATATATATATATATATATATATATATATATATATATATATATATATATATAATATATATATATATATATATATATATATATATATATATATATATATATATATATCCTAGGTAGTAGGTTGGTAGACAGCAACTGCCCAGGGAGGTATGTACTACAGTCCTGCCAAGTGAGTGTAAAACGAAAGCCTGTAATTCTTTTACATGATGGTAGGATTGCTGGTGTCTTTTGTCTGTCTCATAAACATGCAAGATTTCAGGTATGTCTTGCTACTTCTACTTACACTTAGGTCACACTGTACATACATGTACAAGCATATATATACACACCCCTCTGGGTTTTCTTCTATTCTCTTTCTAGTTCTTGCTCTTGTTTATTTCCTCTTATCTCCATGGGGAAGTGGAACAGAATTCTTCCTCCGTAAGCCATGCGTGTTGTAAGAGGCGACTAAAATGCTGGGAGCAAGGGGCTAGTAACCCCTTCTCCTGTATATATTACTAAATGTAAAAGGAGAAACTTTCGTTTTTCCTTTTGGGCCACCCCGCCTCGGTGGGATACGGCCGGTGTGTTGAAAGAAAGAAATATATATATATATATATATAAATTATGGGAGCAAGGGGCTAGTAACCCCTTCTCCTGTATATACTGTATTACTAAATTTAAAAGGAGAAACTTTCGTTTTTCCTTTTGGGCCACCCTGCCTTGGTGGGATACGATTGGTTTGTTGAAAGAAGAATATATAAATTATATATACAGTATATATATATGTATATGCACACACACACTAATGTACAAACTTCCTATTCAGGACAACCTTGTAAAATCTCTCTTGCCACCTGATTTTGAGAGTAAGCAAATGTTTGATATTGTAATATCATGTGTTACAGCCTTACACATATCATACACTGTTAATGCTGCCACGGTCACTGCAGTTAAAGCTTCCATCTCCACTCCTGTGCTCCCAGCAGTAACAGCTTTAGCATTAATTATAACAAGGTGACATTCTTGACCATTTTCTATGTTTTCTTGCAATTTTAATGATATATCTACATGATCAAGTAAAATAGGATGGCACATTGGTATCAGCTCCCATGTTCTCTTTGCTGCCATTATGCCAGCCACTCGTGCCACTCCAAGCACATCTCCTTTTTTCATTTTATTTTCCTTCAACAAAGCAAAAGCTTGACTGCCTAGAGAGACTTCTGCTCTAGCCACAGCTTGACGAATGCTCCTCCTTTTTCCACTTATATCCACCATGCGAGCTTCACCTGCTGAATTTACATGACTCAATGTATAGGATGAATCATCATTATTATCCTCACTAGAAAGGCTTTTGCCTGAAGGTCTATTAGCATTTACTTGTGTATGCGAGATATCAGAATTGTTTTCTTGTAACACCACCTCTTTATTCTGTTCTATGCCTTCACAACTTTCCCTCTGTGCATGTTCACCAAAGTTCTTCCAAAAAATGTTATTGTGATCTTCCATGCTGGACATTTGTCGAGCAATTTGACTTGAGAAGTTACTTATTTTAACACATCCACAGCATTTCACGTGGGTGAATTTTTTTTTATCATATGATGTTAATTTTGAGATTAAATCTGCTTTCAGGGATTGTACAGTTGTGTGAATGAAATGTTGGTGAACTCTTGATGAAGCCATATTTGAGATGATTGAAGACAAATGTACAGCACTCGAGTTCAGTCCCTTACCTGCAATGAGCTCCTGATAAGAAATCAATGAATGCATTCCTATACCATGAAAAATTTAGTACAAAAATCTTAGAAAATTCTTAAATATCTATATTGGTTTGGAAAATGGTGCTTAGACAGGTTATGTATTCAGAGTACCTATACAACCTATTCACACTTACACTCACTCACCCATTTCACCATAAACAGAAATATCAATCTCAATCTTAAAATAATGAATCCTAACGAGTCATAAGTTGGCCTGTGATACTCCAATACTGAAACTATGTATTGTGCCAAAACAAAAGCATTCACATTGCTAAACTCACAAACTAGTATTTAGTCACTTAGCCATAATACCAACTTACCTCATAATTTGTAATATTTTAAATTTAAGAATTAATCTAAGTCTGCCCGAAATGCCTAGCCATGCTAGGTGTTCTAGTGGTACCCTCTGTAATTATTTTACTACATGTAAACCACACAATAACCAAATTCTGTAAACTCAGCATTGTAATCCTTATAGAGAATAAACTTTGAATTTGAATTGTGTTTAGACCACTCTACTTAATGTTTGCAACATATGATGAAAATAAAAAAAATTGTAAACACCTTTTCATTGTAAGCTGTCTACATTTCATATACAGGAACAAAACAGCAAAGTTGAAGTATGTATGGATTAATTTGGCAAACTGATTGAAGCAAGTAAATATATTGTGATCAGCAAATTATAGTAAACTGAATAATATGGTATAAGCTGTGTTAGTAATTACAGAAGACCTTATGAAAAGAAACATTGTCTACATACTATGTATAGTCTCGTGAATCACCCACCAATTAGAATCATCGGTCGGTTCTTCAGCTTTGCCAGATTTTTCATTCCTGTGAAAAATATTAGTGTACATAAATACATAGCTTAAAATATTGTTTAGAGTATGTACAGTGCGGTAGTATCCAAAGCTGACATATGACTTATGAAGCTGTGTTTTATTAACCACAAAGAAAATCAGCACAGGAGTGCTTTTGCTCTTTCATATAATTAACCTTAAGGGACATGGTTAGCAATACAATAGATTATCAAAGTTACCAACCAATTTTGCTGAAAAAATCTATTTTAAACATTTTATTCCAGTCCAAGAAACAGTTTGAGTTTTAGTTAACATTTTCTTTAACAGTAGTATAATATTGAAGATGAACAAGATGACTGTGCAACAGTGTGCTATCTTTACTGCCGAGATATTCTGCCTGCTCCGCAGACCCCTTCAGTCAAAACACAGATATTTACATACTGGAGAAAACAAAAGTGGAGAGGTATATATGAGGTGATCAGTCCTTCAGCCTTGAAGTACAGTGCTAGTCACGGCATTATGTCGCCCCTCCCCCGCACACGTACCAACACACAAACACATACCATGAAAGATTATAATATACAGTGGACCCTCAACCAGCGATATTAATCCGTTCCTGAGAGCTCATCGTTAGTCAAAATTATCATTAGTCAAGTTAATTTTCCCCATAAGAAATAATGGAAATCAAATTAATCCGTGCAAGACACCCAAAAGTATTGAAAAAAAAAATTTTTACCACATGAAATATTAATTTTAATACACACAAACTGAAGATTACATGCACAGTTACATGACACTTACCTTTATTGAAGATCTGGTGATGATTGATGGGATGGGAGGAGGGGAGAGCATTGATCATCTTAGTGTTTAGAAGAGGAATCCCCTTCCATTAGCACTTGAGGCAGCAAGTCTTTTTCTGGGGTTACTTCCCTTGTTCTTTTAATGCCACTAGGACCAGCTTCAGAGTCACTGGACTTCTGTCGCACAACATATCTGTCCGTAGAGGCCTGTAGTTCTCGTTCCTTTATCCTAAAGTGTTTCACAACATTGTCAGTGTAATAGTCACCAGCACGGCTTGCAATAGCTGTGTGAGGGTGATTTTCATTAAAAAAAAGGTTTGCACTTTAAGCCACATTGCACACATTTCCTTAATCTTTGAAGTAGGCAACTTCATCAATTTCTCTCTCCCCTCCTCCGAAGCAGTTTCCTCAGGTGTGGCCTCTTACTGTTGAAGATGATCTAGCAGCTCATCAGTGGTTTGTTCTTCATTGTCCTCCTCCACCAACTCTTCCACATCCTCCCCACTAACCTCACCAATATGAGCACTAGTTCCAGGCATTTTTTCCTGTTCACCTGGGTGTTAGTCAACTGTTGTGGGTCGCATCCTGGGGGACAAGATTAAGGACCCCAATGGAAATAAGTTACAGTCCTCGATGATGCACTGACTTTCTTGGGTTATCCTGGGTGGCTAACCCTCCGGGGTTAATCGTTTCTCGGTAATTGTTTCACGTTAAGCCACATCAACAACACTCTCTCCACATCTTCGAGTAATACAGCTGATGGTGGTGCAGCAACAACAACAGCTGACTGTGGTGCAGCAGCAGCTGCACCTTTGGCAAGAACAGCTTCCTTGATTGCCGTTTTCTTACCCACAATAGTAGCGATGGTTGATTGGGGTTTATTATACAACCTGACCAGCTCAGAGACACGCACTCCACTTTCATACTTAGCAATGATCTCTTTCTTCATCTCCATAGTAATTCTCACCCTTTTTGCTGTAGGGTTGGCACTAGAAGCTTTCTTGGGGCCCATGGTGACTTATTTTGCAGGTGCAATCACTACAAAGGCTGTGATAATATCAAATGTTCCAGTTGTTGTATGTTTGGAAGTGACCGTGGTGGCTGGCTGGCTTGTAAACACTGGCACCGAAGGGACAAGTGAGGCGCGCTCAGGCCAAAGTGGACGCGTATGGTATGGAACAAATAGCGCTGGTCGGGTTTTTAAGCGCTAGTTGAGGCAAAATTTTTGCGTTAAAATGTATCACTATTCAGATTTATCGTTAATCAATGCCATCGCTGGTTAAGGGTCCACTGTATTTGCACACTTACTGAGTTTTTAATACTCTCACACAAATTCTTGAGGGTTTGGGGAGGTATATTATTCCATGCCTCATGTACAGCAGCCTCCAGCTGTGGGATGGAACCGATATCCTTACCCAGTAAACTTCACTTCACTATTAACCAGCGGTTCTCAACAGGGTTTAGGTCTGGGGAACTGCCTGGCCAGTCATTAAAGAACCTCACTTCACAGTTCTTAAGCCACAGACTGAACCACAGATTTGGCGGTATGACACAGTGCACCGTCCTGCATATAAACCATAGCCCCACACTTGTCAAATGCCTCAGGTAAACTGTCACACAATAATTCCAGGTAATTATACTGGTTCATATACTGGTTTTTGGGAAGCACAATGCGTTCAACAGTCAACAAAATTGATGAGACTTTAGACGGATAACGTCATCGATTAAAACTTTTTTATCCTGCCAGGATGGAAATGAACTAGAAGTGTGATGGGGGAAGCCAGACTGTGAAGTGAAGAGTGAAGGGGGTTTGTGAAGTAAGGGGGTAAGTAAGGGGTGAAGGGGGTTTGTGAAGTAAAGGGAATAAGTGAAGGGGGTTTGTGAAGTGAACAGGAAATCAACTAGTAATAAGTGGTGATTGCTACTAGGCCATTGCTAGGTGACTGATAGCGATCTGCGGTTTCTTAAAAAAAAAAAAATTGTTGTGAAGTGATGTGAAGAGTGAACATGGCTGGTGTTAGAGGAATAGAGGCTGCCATAATTACATTTATCCTTATCCTGCAATTCTCTGAAGCAGGAAAGAGGTCATGGGGACTGGAAAAGGCAAATGGGGTAATAGCACCCTGGACAGTAAAAGCCCAACAGTTTCCATCCTACCAGAAATGTAAGTGCCACTATCGACACAAGGTATGGCAACACCATATACCCAAACAAAAACAATGGTGCACAGCTCTTATAGTGGCATTATTAAGTGGCAGTATCCAAACTAATCCAGGACCTCAAACTGTGGTACAGGTGCAAAACAGACAGATAAGTGAAGGTAATAATGACAGTCTATTAGCTAGGAATGATAACCTTAACTCTATGTATAATGCACAGAGAGATCAATGTGAGAGTGTGAGACAATAGAACCACTCTTATCCCAGACACCACCAGACATATGTATATACTGTACTAAGGTACGAAAGAAGAACAGTAAATATACCTTATGTAATTTGTGTAAGGGGTGGGTGCATAATGGGTGTGTACAATTATGGTAATGATGCCAGATTTCATTTTGTTTGTAACAAATGCACTTTGGCACAGTTACCCTTTAGCAATGATGACATTGATTTACCTAATTTTAACACAAATGACCCCTTCCCATATACATGTACTGATGATTATGATTGTTTTATGAAAACAGGCCTTCACTTTATTCATGTCAATTTCGAGATCACTTTTTCCAAAATTGGCAGAGATTAGGATTCTAGCTAACAGAACTAGGGCAGCAGTTATATCCATCTCTGAATCCTGGGCTGATACAGTGACTGATGATAAGGTCAAAATAGAAGGTTACAATATAAAACACTTAGATAGGAATAGGAAAGGTGGTGGGGTATGTGCCTACATAAGAAATGACTTGGCCTATAATCCAAGACCTGATTTAAATGACAATAAACTGGAGATTCTATGGTTTGAAGTGTTGCTTCCCAAGACCAAACCCATCTTAGTAGGAACTAGTTACTGCCCTCCCCCCCCAAGACCAGTTCTTAGAGAACTTTTCGAGAGTCTTGTCCGGACTAGATAGCAATTGCGAGACAGTAATACTTTAACATCCGTTTTCAACAGCAAAATAACGGGCTATGTAAAAGGTATAAGCAAATTCTGGGTTTAAATAGTTACACTCAACTAACTAATACATCAACCAGGATCACACAGTTCTCAACCACCCTAACTGACCACATACTTCGTAACCACGCTGAGAACATTAGTCAGTCAGGCATCATTACCACAGGCCTTAGTGATCATTTTATCATTTACTGCACCAGGAAAATCACTTGGGAATGGATAGGCCTACACAGGACAATAAAAATGAGGTCAACTAGAAACTACAGTAATGAAACACTGGTAAATAGGCTACATAATTGTGACTGCAGAGTGATAAGTTGCACGGACATAACTGATGCCAGGGAAAAATTCAAAACAATGTCCACTGCCATCCTTGATAATACTGCACCAGTTAAAGAGGTTAGGATTAAACGGAGAACCAAACCCTGGATGACTACCGAGATACTGTATTAGATAATATAAAATTCAGAGACCAGTTGCTAAAAAGATTTAAGGCAAACAGACATGATATTGCAGAGCTAAATGAATTCCAAAGGGTGAGGAATAGAGTGCAGGGGCTTATAAAAGGCACAAAGGCAAGACACTATTGCTCAAAAATTGAAGAGTACAAGAATATCCCTAGAAAGCTCTGGCAACAACTAAAACAGCTGGGGTATAGTCAAAAACCAGTACATAGCTCTAACATAGTACTAAATATCGATAACGAGGCATGCCACGAAACAACAAAAGTGGCAAATTGTTTTAATTCATACTACATGACAGTCGCATCAACATCAGTAAGTAAACTACCAACTGCATCAAATACCTTTAACAGATACTCTGATAAGTTTAAAACATACTATACCAATAAAGGGGGTAACCCCAAACAGTTGTCAGCTAGTAAGTGTATCTCATGACCTCATGCAAAAAGAACTAAGCAGGTTAAACCCAACTAAGAGCACCGGTCCAGATAACATCCAGTCTAAGTTCTTGAAAGATGGTGCCTCTGAATTGCCAATCCCCACTGCTCATATAATAAATCTGTCCATAACCACTAATACCGTACCAGAGGGGTTCAAGGAGGCCAGAGTTATTCCTATCTTCAAGAAAAATAGTAGGTCTGATGTCAGCAACCATAGACCTG